TGATCCCCGTTTCCCTCCCGTGATAGGTGGTGGCGGCGTCGGCACTGGGCCTACCTCCTCAAGCATGCTGTATCTGGTCGGGCTGGGCTTGGGAGATGCCAAGGACATCACGGTGAAGGGGCTGGAGGCGGTGAGGCAGTGCCGCAGGGTGTACCTGGAGGCCTACACGTCCATCCTCACGGTGGGGAAGGAAGCGCTGGTAGGTCTGGGCGCTGGTGTGGCACAGAGCCCCAGGGCCTCTCCTGCAAAGCCTGAGGAGGGTGCTGGGGCCTGTAGGCCAGTAACGCCTGCAGGACAAACTGGTGGTGCGCGTTCTTGGAAAAAGCACGTACGTGACCTTCACATGCTGTGTTTTATAGGAGAAATCGTTTCGCTACTGTTACGGTTTGAGAAACCCACAGCAATTTATTGTCATTGAGACAATCATTCTATCACCCGATGACCCCTCCCCACCCATGAAGGGGAATCAGGGAAAAAACAAGGAAGCCCAGGGGTTGAAACATAATCTAGTCTTATTCTGTTAAATCTGTTTATTAACATTAATAGCACTAAAGGACCAATATTGATCCCAATGCCAATACAAAATACACAAAGATTATACACAGCCAACTATATCAGTAGAAAGCTGTGCGCTCCCAGCAGTGGACAGTAAATGGTGGACACTATGAGCGCTACGGCTTCGGGAGGAAGAGAAAGCCTTAGGGGTCCGGCACCAGGGCAAAAAGTTCTCAGGATCGCAGCCATCAAGGGATAGAGAGAACTTTGCAGCAAACTTTTTAATTTATAGTGAATGTGATGTTCAGGATATGGAATAATCCTTTTGGCCCGCTTGGGTTAAGAGCCCAGGTCTCACTCCTCCTCATCCCTGTACCTGGCTAACTCGAAAACACTGAGACCTTGAAAGGCACACACCATAACTGGCTGTAAAGTAGAATATTTTCACAAATTCAGACACTAGGGTCTTCTAAAAGTACAGTCTTCTCAAGTATTAGAAGAGAAAATAGTCCTGTGTCACTCAAACCAGGACAACTACCTTGTTGGAAGACAGGAACAAAAATGAATTTTCCTTCCTACAAGTAATATTTGTATTTTAATACCAGTTTAATCTCAAATTCTAGCAACATGGCAATCCTGGAAAGTTTGAGAATTTGGTCAGAAAAATGCCTGATCTGATTTAAAAATAAATAAATAAAAGATATAACAGAAAAATAGATGTTTTGGAGCCTTGAACCTCTGTATCAGCCTGAGGTGTTATGGTGCCTGCTGGGAATAATAATTTGAGTGTCTCAGGTTTCCGTGTTGCCTTGTGGGCCAGGCTGTCTCACCATGTTGAGACTTTCAGAAAATACGCAGTTCAGTCAGAGATGGGTTGTTGAACAACATTGAGATAAACTTCTTGTTAGTAAACACACCTTGTGGAAGAAGATAGTAGTAAAAATGTACAAATTGTAACTCTGATGGATTCACTTGTAGTAGAAAAAGTTTAATCTTGAAATAATACCAAAAAAAAGGGCTTACCTACCCAAAGAACAGGGATCTTGCCTCCAAATAAGCTGTGTGGTATATACAGACATGCTATCTGGGTCTTGTATGCTGTATAGTCATAAGGTACTTGTATGCATGTATGTATGTACATACAACACATGAGACTTTTAGCTTATAGTCAGCATTATGTGGTTTCCAGATACAAGCTAGGCTAGAATATTTGGGGCCATCTCTGGTATATCAGCTGTATTTTGAAATGAAGATATACTCCATGTTTTTCTGCTTTTTTCAATGTGCTGAAGCAATCTAATTTGAAATTAATTCATTCAAAACAACATTATTTTTTTGTTATTATTGGACAGTTGGAAAATTGCAAAATAGAAATGATTACTTGGATATTTTTACTTTGCAAACTGCATTTGCTATAAAAAAAAAAGATGGATTCCTAGCCAGCTGAAAATAAAACACTGAATAATAGAAAAATGCTGAATATTTTTGGCATGGTTATTTCTGGGGGCTTGTTTGGGGTTTTTTTTATTGTTTTAAGTCTCTTGGAAACCTTGAAATCCCAAAGATAAGGTAATTGGGAAAAATGATTATTAAAAACAAAGTAAGAGATGCTGTCTTTCCTGAAACTGCATAAGAGTGAATATAGCAATCACCAAGTTTCAATAATATAGCCCAGTTTACATACAAGTGACAATGCCGAATTGTTTATTTACTAATCTGAAGGTCAGTCTCTCCTAAGCAACATGAAAAGTTGTGGGAAAGCTCTCAAGAGATTAAAACCAGATTCTTTGCTGCAGGGATTTTCTAGATCCTCCTGTGCCGATGCTTTTAAAATCAGATCTCAAAATTCAAATGACATTACTTAGTTTATCTTGTTGGCCTAAAACGTATATTAAAAGCTATTTTATGTTGACTGTCTAAATTGGCCCTCAGTTTGGTGACAGAAGTGTTTCGACCCAGTGACCTCCCAGTGAGTCCCATCTAGTACTCTAGCTACTGGATGGATTTTTTTATGGAAGCACTACTCGCCTCTGTACAATTATGATGGTTCTCTTGTCAATTCACTATTCTTTGTGGGCAAAGATGAAGTTATCACTGAAGTCACAAGGGAAGTCAGAGAAAAATCTGGACCATAATTGACTTAATAGTTACATCAATTTGTTAATATTTGTAGTACCACCCATAATTTCTGAATACCATTTGGAACAGAAACACTTTTTTTTGGTCTACGCCCTGGGAAAAAAATATTTTATCTAATCATGTGAAGAACATGTGAAATGGATGGTGAAACATGACTTGTGGAGACAGATATGTTCAGGGTGGTCAGATAACATGTTTCTAGAACAAACTGAAGTTTTATTACATGTGAGGTTGATTCTGGAAATAAAGGCATTTAAAACATACAAAGAGACACAATGATTACTGAGCTGCTGAAGAAAAGCAAAGAACACAATCAAATACACATTTACCTGTATGCATGGTAAAGTATTTCTTACAGAGAATTGAAGATGAAGTTTTAATATGAAATCATTCCTTAGATGTGGTTAGTTACAACGGACTAAGGAAAAAAAACACCTTAAAAACTAGATGGTGGTATAGCTAGTGTCGTATTTGTATCTGGTTTGATGTCAGTATTATAACTAAGGTAAGCAGTTAGGCTCAGACTTGTGAGAGGGGATGCCTTATAATAGGATGACTGGTTAAATTAACTACACCTAGAGTCCACCCAGGTACCTTTAGTATGCAGGTGTGATTGAGCTACTTTTGGAGCAGCTCCTCAACTGACACAAAAGGCATAAAACCCCAAGTCAATGTCAGAGTAACGTGCTTGACTAATTTTTGTCAACTCAGGAGCTGCTTCATGGGAAGCTCAGGTGTTCTTGCAAGGAGAGGCAGGGTTCTCCAAGACATGGGTCAGGCTGCTGGGGAGAACAATAAAGTTGGCCTTTCCAGTGTCCAATGTCTGTGTTCCTGAGTGAGCACCCAGAGAGATATGAAAACACTCCCAAGTGTCTTAATTTTGGTGTTTCTTATTAATTTCAATTTTTAGGAAGAGTTTTATGGAAGAGAATTGATTTTGGCTGACCGAGAAATGGTGGAACAAGAAGCAGATAGCATTTTAAAAGAAGCTGATGTTTGCGATGTCGCATTTCTTGTAGTTGGTGATCCCTTTGGGTAAGACAAAACAACATTTTAATTATTGCTCTAGCTTCATCACTCTCTTTTTTCAATAGGAAGGAGCCATACTCCATAACTGTAATTCTTTATGAAGAAGCTGATTTTCAGACCAGAACAACTTTTTACGTTGCATTAAACAACTTTTTTTTATTGCATTAAAAATACACATGCAATTGCCTACACTTTATCTTGCTTTGGAGTTTCCTTGCCCAGATATCCCTTATAGATAGGAACATGGGCCCTCCAGGGTGTATAACTCTTTCCTTCAGCCGTCACTTATCGTTTCGTTCTCCATGCTAGCTTTTACAGAAAATATTTTGTTCCAGGTTTTATCTGCTAACCGAAGAAATTCTAGGATATCACATAGTTATGACGTGCTATGTTTTGAGAGAGTATTCTTTTAGTTGCTATTTGTACTTACAAACCACAGCTTTTATGCTCAGTTGTTTTACAATGAATACTGATTGTTGGTTTACAGTGCTTCTGCTTTGATATATGCTAGTTTTTAAAATCACTTAGGTTGTTATAAATGTCTTCTCATTTTGGTTTATTAGGCCTTTTGTTTCCACTTTTTTGAAAAGTATATTATTTTTCTATCACCAGAAGGATCTCCTTCTGTCTTTTCAATCAGGCATCATCAATCTGTAATGTCAAGCCATACAGAAGAGCCTTTAGTCTCCAGCTGGTGATTCAAGATTTATACCACAGTGTTAAGGGGCACAAGAAAAATTGAATCACCGAGCACCCTATTTGTGAGTGAAAAAATAGAGTTTATGAAAAAGAGGAGCAGTGTGCACATCTGTCAAAAGCGGATAATTTATGTAAATACAGGTTGAAGGGAATTGGCAAGAGAATATTATATTGAGCTAGTACTTACGGGCAGATGATGCTGTATTTCAGAAATACTAATTGTACTTTCAATGCATGTTAACATTAAAATTAGGATTCATAGAGTGTAGAGCCATGTTACCCGTACCCTTGTGCTGTGATCCAGTGACTGATATAAATACGTACGCAAGATGAAAAAGAAACAACCTATGTGCATTGAAATGTAATTCCTACTTGTAAGCAGTATCTTGATCTGCCTCAGGTAACAGGAGTTTCAGTGTCAAAATACTTCAATTCTGATTAACATACTACATCTTTGTTGAAAACTACCCTTTTTTTGAATGAGTTGCTTCTCTCTAAATGTTTTTGTTGTTAGCTCTTAATGTTGCAGCTAGAACTGCTCCTATGCCCACATAGATCTCTAAGGATTTTGGGGTTCATGAGCTTACTAGGAAAGAGTACTGAATGTTTCTGTCCTAACAGAAGCTATATGGTAGGAGGATAGAAGCCATATGACTGCAGCTGATTGTAGAGTTTAAGTATATTTGCAGGTCAGAAGAGTACTTGGCAGCCTTAGGAAATCTCAGGTGTTGGCGGCTAATGGTTAAATTGATAAAACAAGCTGTGCCCATGTCATTCTTCTCACTGTTGTTCACTGCAAGTTTTTATATGCATGTGTGGTAACAGCTATGGATGTGCTAGCGGGAACCTGACCATTCTAATAGTGTACTGGAAGACCCACCTTTATCTAGCCTGATGCTAACATTCATATTATTACTACCCATAAAGCTTAAAATCTGTATCAGTGAGAGAATACTAGTATAGCTCTGGGTGCAGAGGGCTGCCTCCATGAAGCCTTTGTGGGTATTAGCTGAGTGCTTGTGAGGGCACTTCTGCTTTTAGCTGCAGTCATTATGGACAGATCGATTGGGAGAAAACACTGGCTGGAGCAAATTTCAGTGAATAAAGCCAGCTGATGCCTTAGTCAGTATTAGCATAACCACAAAATCCTCCAGTGCTCCTTGTCCTATGCATGTGAAGAGAGTAATACAAGGGTGTAAAACTTGTCCCCTCTTCTTGTAGAGCAGCTATTCTAAAACACCTTTGCTTGTGGAAGTCAGGAGCATGGTTTGGTTACTAACCAAAGTGGTGTTTTAGATCACTTGACTGCATTCTTCTAGGTCTGGGTACCTGTTTGTATCAGGATCTCCGATTTCCCAAATTCAGATTCCTCTATTGTTTTTACTCCAGAGAAATTGATTTCTATTTTAAATGATTGATCCTTGCAGCCTGGCCAGCTGCTGCCACATTTGTGTTCCAGTCTGAAGCACCTGATCTGCTGATTTGTCAGACGTGCAGTGTCCAAATTACCAGACTGAAAATCAGGGGAGATCTGTCAGGGTAACTGAACCAGGCCAGGGTGAAAGCAGTCTTCCTATTTAATTTTTCTGATCAGCATATGCTATTTTTTTCTTTGCATCCTTCTTTGGAATGGCCACACAGAAATGTGTGGTACATCTTGGGAAAGAGATGGCTGAGGCCACTGTTCAGGTTTGATAAATTTAGGCAAGGGGTAGGTGTGTTTTCATATTTCACATGGAAAATGGAGTGTGCCTAGCAGGTATGTAAGCGTACATGCAAGCAAGATACATATGTAAACATCGTTGCAGTTCAAAGATTTTCTGGATCTATATATGTTTACCTTTGGGACTCTAATCCCAATTGCATTAACTACAAGCCCGGTAATACTTGCACCAGTCACTGCAAGGTGTTTATTGAGCATTGGACCTGGAGCCAAATTTAGCTCAGTCCTAAGATTAACTAGAATTTTCTCAATTATTTCAGAATCAACTTGATCACTCAAACTTAGGCTTTGTTAATTTGAGTAATTTGGCTTAAATGTTGTAAAAGTTGATTTAGTCTAAGGACTCAGTCTATTTGAAGTTCTTGTTTGAGTGTGTTACTTTCCTATCAGGCGCTGGTGCAGATGGGAGAAGGCCTGGCTGTGCAGTGAGTAAGGCAATCCGGGAGTTTTGTTGAAGCCTGTGCCAGACAGAGTTGACCTTTACAGTTCAACAGACACCTGCAGAAGACAAAGGATAAATGGAACTTTCCTTTTCAAGTACTTGCCAAAGCTACTTTAAAAAGTAACAATGGTGTTGGTGTTACAGTTTAAATGACGCCAGAAAGCCGCAAAGAACCGTAACATACCAAGTGAGGATGCCTGTATGCTCAGCTAGGGCAGGTGACATATGGAAGCCTTACTAGAGTTTTTTACTTTCCCATAACAATTAGTCAAGTTATTGTTGCCCTTTTGGCACCTCTGCATTGCCCTAGTTGTGAAGGGTTTCATTTTACTTTCAAAACAAACTATAATATTAGTTACACTTGGTCGCTTTGTCTTTTCAATCTTTAATTCCTTTCTCTTCTTAACACAGGGCCACAACGCACAGTGATTTAGTACTACGTGCAGTAAAACTGGGAATTCCATACAAGGTCATTCATAACGCTTCAATAATGAATGCAGTGGGCTGCTGTGGTTTACAGGTAATATTTTTGTATATATGCTATTGCACAACTGCTAAATTAGAATTGGTGAGCTCTTCTACTGCTGTAGCAGTGCATGTTGCAATCTGAAGTTTGCAGATCTGTAGCAACTGTACAGTTCTGTTGTCAGGATTTGTTAACATTTCCTTTTCAGCATGTTACATGTCAGCAAAAGTCCCTTTTGATGAGCGCGTGTGTAAAGAAATATTAACACTTCTATTCTTCTCTGCTGTTTAACTTCCCTCTGCCCCACAAGACTTTGATATTTAAGTTATTTTGCAGATAAAGCTTTGCTCATGTTAGCTTCCTTCTACTACTGATGGTCACCTGATAAGTTTATTCTTAAATTAGGTTGTTATCCTGTTGATAAGTATGCTGGTTTTGTCATAAAAGGAATAGATGCACAAGCCTGTCTATATGCCCAACTGAGATCGTAACTAATTCCAAAATCTTGTATGTGATGCATTCTTTCTCTCTGAGGTTGACCTATCTTCACTTTCTGCCCACCTGCTGAGAGAGGAAAGATTTGCTTAGCCAAGGACTAGAAGAACAAATGACAGTTTCCGTGCTTCTTGAATGGCTAAAGTAGAAAAGGTCTAGTGTCCCCCAAGAAAATACTTCACTACTTCCTTTTACACACGTAGAGGTCCATTATTACTTTTCCTGCATGAAAACTGTTACGGCAGTGTATGTATCATAACTAATCACATAGAAATTAGTTGAATCTTCCCCCTCCTGTTGTTATTCATTACTTTAACATAGAACCTGCCCTGTCAAGGTTCAGAATGGTTCCCTGTGTATGGGAACCCCTAAACCAAGCTCCCACTTTACCAAAACTGAAAGCAAGCATAGGAATGTAAGTGTACTACAGACAAGAATTGAGAGTTTGAACAAGTTATCATCACTGAAGGAGGAAGCATTCCTTCCTAGCTTAACATAAAAGAACACCATTTTTTAATTTCAAAAAACAAGTGGCGCCTTCAAATTTACAATGACAAACTCCAATAGCCTTATTTCAATGCTGCCCAGCAGCAGAAAATCCGTTCCAATAAGTTGGGTATGATCTCTGGCTTTGATCACATCTGAATGGTTGAGAAATGTGAACGTCCTGTCTGATCTGGCAGTTCAGCAGCACTGCATTGACACCTGTTCTGAGACGTGAGTGCTAATGCCAAAGGGAATGCAGCATAGGATTCACATTCTTTAGAATTCTTCCCGTGAGCACTTTCTTAGTGATACCTGCCTATTGCTGTTAAGACTTGGGCAAAACTATCTTTTAGGAAGGAAATAGGCTCCTTGGTGTCTAAAATCTACATGTACAGCAGACAGATGGCAGCTGTCGCATGACTGCACTTACTGGGCGGGTAACACAAGAGTTGAGGCTGGGGCTCACCCGTTCCCCTTCTGGCTTCACGGTGGTGCAAAATTTGCTTCTGCTGTCAAGCTGTTGACAAGTACTTTCTACTACCCACTATCTTTTTACTGTTCTTTTACATTCGTTAGGAAGGAAGATGCAAGGCTCATATTCCTAAAGAGAACAGATGACTAAGGTTTCTGAAAGTTTGCTTCCCCCACAACTCCAGCTAGGCATAGGAAGGAGAAGTATAGAGCTTGGTAAGGTAATTGAAAGAAAGAGCAGAATACTAACTGGGAATATATTGTAAACAGTTTATAATGTTTTTCAAATACGCAGAGTTTTGGAGATTGGTTTACTATTCCCTTATCCTATACAGAAAGGAACAGACCATGAAGGAAATGTGATGTTATTCACTCTGGCACTGGTCCCCTTTTCCATTCTGGCTTGGGAGGGGCTGCCTTCTCATAAGTCAACATTCCTGTTGTTGTATAAAGCATTTTAGGAAATAGTGATCATATTGTATTACCGGACAGGGTATAACCAGCTGGGTGTTTAACTCTTCATTGCTCCTTACAGGCATAAACAGCAACTGAGGGGTGTCTTACAAAAAAGTGGCCTGTGATTTAATTAGAGTTGCGGTGGAAGTTTATAATTTCTTTCAACAGTCTTTACGTTCATGGCTGTCTCCTGCCATCAATTTAATTTTGGAGTTACTGTGTTTCAAATTGAAAAGTTGCTGTCAAGTATAGCAGGGATTCCTCTTTTGCTTCACCACAGAAAAGGCTTGGCTTTTTTTCTTGTTTTAATCTGATTGTGATACAAAACTTCTTTCTTTCTTACAAGAGAAAAACAGGAAACACCTTTATACGCTGTTCTGAAAGCCATGTGCGTAGTGAGCTGTAACTGCTGATTAGGCCCTCAGCAAAATGCAGCTACAGCCTAGTCTGTTCACAAAAGAACATGTTTCTTGTCATCACAGCAATGTTCCTGTGCAGCCAACAGCATTCTGGTAGTTGTGCAGTTTTCCTGTGCAGTAGTGAGTTACTGAAGTCAGTAGAGCATTAGTGATGCTTTGTCACCTTCGATTCATAGATATATTTCTTGCCAAATTGTAAAGAAGTGTGAATATCTATTTTCAAATACTTTTTTTTTTTTTTTTTACTATCTTGCCCATTTAACAGGATCAGTGCAGCTGTGTTGAAGACTGCACAGATGAGGATTGCATTTGTATAAAGAACAGGGTGTATTTTAGTTTTGAGAATTAAACTTTTTGAACTAGGAAGCTCTCACAGATTGATACAATAAGCTATAGCTACTGAAAGTAGGGGATGGTATAACTTAGCAAAGGACTAGCGTGACTGGGCATAAGGCGCTCTGACTTGCTGTAGCTCCCTCTTTTATGCTGTTCTTTCTGTGCTTCACCATATCAGAATGTTTTTTCCCAAAGCTGAAGAACCTTGTTTCCCTCAAAAACAAATGAATACAGCGGTAGGGGGGAAGCCAGGAACAGTGCCGGTGTGCGAGTGCCTCTTGGCACTTTCTCTGCAGGTTCACCTCTTTTGTCTGGAATCTGACATGTAGGTATTTTGATCATTCTGACTCTTGTTATATTGGGGAACAACCACCAGTGAAGAAATTCATGCAGTTTGGTATCTCTGCACACTGCCAGGGAAGTCAGGGAGGGGGGAACAGAAGTCTCCAGGGGAAGGCCGAAATTCTCAGAGAACACTGTAAGTGGTAACTAGTGAAGCAGTTCAGCTTTCCTCATCAGCAGCTTCACCGTAGTTCTGTACCTTTGGAAAGCTTTGTGTTTTAGCTAACAGGCTTACCTCTGGTTCTACCAGTGCTCAGCTACCCTGCGAGCAAGCCTTTGCCTTGGCTCTATCTGACTGGGATTCAGCATTGCAAGCTGAGAACAAAGGGAGAGCCTAGCCTGACTTCCATGGCTTTATCTATACCTGCACTCAGTTTTTCAGAATAGGGCTGATTGCTAAGGCTTTTAGCCCTAAAATAAAGAGGCAGAAAACTCTGGATCTCTTAATTTACACCTTTTTCCTTCCTTCCTAATCTTCATGACATCAGGGTTAGTTTGGGAATGTCACTGGCCATAGCAGTGCTGCCGGGACAGAGTTCTCTCTGACCCAGTTCTGGTAATGTGTCTTTGAGATAGCAGTATGGATTGTCAAACATATGAGGAAGACTCTGCGTCATACTGACCTGTGATGCATGTGAAGGAGTGATGCAACTTGAAATGGCTTGAGATAATGGCATTACTGTAAAAAAAGAAGATTGAGAACTAAAATGCAAAGTTGGAGGCAAGCCACAGGATGAGACAAAAGACCCAAATGAGCCACTCATTTCTGGGAGAGTGGTGTTGCTAGCTTTGAAAGCATTTACTTTATATTTTGGTAGGGTAGCTAGGAGAAAAAAAACAAGTCATGGCAAAGACCTGCCTTTCTTTTGAGACATACCCACTTTCCACCTGAATAGCTTCAGAACAAACATCTGCATGTCCCCTTGTTTCTTTCAGTGACTCTCACTGATTTTTATTTTTTTTTTGTTTGCAATCCAGTTAGTTCTTGTAAGACAATTACAGTTATAAGATAGTTTTACCTTTTCACTACTAGCTGATGACTTAAATGCAAAAGCAGTGCTTACTATGTTATTTTTGAGTCTTTCCTGAAGAGGTCAGTACATTTTCAATGTCAAGTAGAAGAATACTACTTATAGATAAGAAAGCTGAAGGATGCTATCATTACTCATTGTACTCATAGTCAAATAGAAAACCTGTAGTAGCTGCAGGAGCAGAACCTCTGAGTTCCACCCTCTCTCGGTGCCCTAATCTTCAAAAATACTCTTTGCTCTAGTAGGAGGGGCTCTACACAAAATGTTTTTTATTCACTGACAGTTAGAACAAACTGTTTTCCGTCACTGGTTGGTTTTCTCACTTACTACCAGCTTCTGAGCCTTTCAGAAGTTGGCATTTGTGTCTCAAACCAATTAAAGGTTAAATCAGTGCTAGTCGCACTACCTTATTACTCACAGTTGCTATTCAACTTAGTGCCATTTGTCACCAGCAAATATGACCCAGAAACATCCATTTAATCAGAGCAGATTTTTTTCTCCATTTAGATGTCTTCATTTCAGATTAGTAACCCAAGTGACCAGGGCGGGAAGGAATCATTGTTGGATATTACTGGGAAGAGTCTTAGGATATTATTAAAGATAAGGTGACATTACCTTGGAGGGAAAATCCTGTCCTGTTCAAGTTTGCTTGGAGTTTATGAGTCTTTCGGTAGCTGAATTTTATTCTGCTTGTGGAGTGGCTATTTCCTAAGTGCTGATACAGGAAGCAGCCAAGAGAAAAATGTGTTCTTCCCTTCAGCTGCTTTTATGTGATTTGTCTCAGCTGCCTCCTGAAGACTGCAATCATGTGGAGTGGGCTTCCCTCAGCCAAACATCCTTTTCTTCACAGTTCCTTTCTCTCTGGCATGTACTAAGGGGACTGGAGGTTTTTGGGACAGCTGAGCCAATCTGTTGGCTTGCAGTACAAAAAGGAGTCATCGCTCTGGGTATGTGAATGGTAAAAGCTTTCAATTTTATGTGAAGGTTCTCATGAAAGGCGTTCAAAGTTGGTAAAGGTCTGTGGTACTAAATAAGATAGTGTGAAGGGCTACAGCTGGGCTTGTGGTTGTTTCATATGACCAATTACAAGCAAAAATGAAGCTTGACTGATTCTTGCTACCTCTTTGTTGATGATTCTCCTACTTCCTAAGCTGTTCTCTGGCAACAATATATAGTATAAAGAACAGCAGGAGCCCTTTAATCTGATGTATATGGTCTGAAGGGTTGTTAGTGTGTTATGGAGGATGGGGGAAAAATCTGACTTGTTACATTCCTCTTTTTGAGGATGAATGTTGCACAGCATCATGTCAGAACTCTTATGACAAGGATAAAAAAAACATGTCTTAGCTTTTCTGTGTACGTTCGTTGGGGTTTAACAAGAAGCAACCCAGGATAATGTAAGTTGCTCTACGGTCTCCAAATTCCATTGAGGAATAGCTTTAGGAGAAAAAGCCTCTTGGTGTCTGTCAGGGAATGGGATCAGGCGGTGAAGCATCTTCATTTGCAGAACGCACCTGTCCTGTGCGAACTATCTGCAGTGTAACCTGTGACTATCTCAACACAGAACATAGCTGAGTTGTGTTTTAGTCCTACAGGGTTTACAGCATTTGCATGTGTATACAGGTGCCAGGTCTGAAAAACGTAATGATAAGATTCCTTTTTACGTTCTTCCCCTGACACGTATCCAGTTGTGAAGCTGTTTGAAATTTTAGGAGAGGAGCTAGGCTCATCAGTGAAGAATTGCTTTGTCACCATTGCAGCTGATACAGCAATTCTGGGAAAGATGCTGTAAAAATAAATGTCTCATTTTGAAATGTTTACTTCTTTGTTTCTCTGCAGTTGTTGCCCTACTGACCTTTAATATTATCTTGGGTCTTCTCTCCTGCTTGCTTTAGTACTTTTTAGAGGGGATGGGGGAATCTTCCTTTTTTAATTTCCCTCTTTAGTCTCAACTTGTTCCTTCTTTTTATGCTCCATGTTTTTGTGGTCATTAGCCACACCAGTATTTTAAGTGAGAACTGTTGATCCAGACAGCTTGAGGTGTCTGATGTCATTCAGGCTTGCCATTAACGGGGTTGCTTGGTGGTTTCATTGAAATTTCACTTGCATGCAGGCTTTCCAACATCACGGCACAGCACTTTTTCTCTCATAGTTTATTCCGGCCTCTCAACTAGCAATCAATTCTGCTTATATAAATAACAAGCAAAAGAAGAAATATCATTAACAGAAGGGTTAAAAATACTAACTGAAAACAGGCACCTCCATACCAAAAGTTGTCTGACATTCTTTCGTATTATGTGTGTAAATAAAATAGAAAGTTATAGCTTGTTCTGGGATGATGAAAGTGTGAGTTGAAGAACAGCTTTCTGCAGTATTTTGTGAGAGGCAGAAAGCTCTAGCAGGCACAGCATTGCCTCGGAGTAGAGAGTTCTGGCTTCCTTTCCTGACTTCAGCTATTGCATTGCAAAATTTAAGTGCACAAAGCTTTGCTTAAGCCAATTACTACTTGGGTGGGGAAGGGGGGGGGAGGGGTATTTCCAAAGACTGAGGTCTTTCAAAATGACCTTTTGAAATTTTTCTGTGAAGTTTTTGAGCATTAGGGAGAAGGAAAGAAGGTTAGTTTCCAAGCTGAGAGCATGAAATGTCTGTCCAACCATTTCACTGAGCCCCTTTGAAATTCTGGCACTTTTGTGCCTGAGCAGAATGTAGGCACTCCAACAAATCTGATGATTAGTGCAAGTGTGATGCTTGAGATGTTTTAGCTTCTACAGAACAGATCTTGCCCGCTGCTAAACCCCAGCTGCTTAACACAGAGTGCAGCACACAGAGGACCGCTGGGAAGCTTCATTTACTGTTGCCTCTCTTTGAAGCTGTGCCAGCAACTGTACAGCATGATCGTTTCACTGACAATATACAGAGCTCTTCACTGACTTATTAAACTTCTTAATGATCTCAAAGCATGACATTAATCCTTAGTTGTGTTGTAATACACCTAGGTTAACAAACGTGTCACAACTTTATTCCAACAACAAGCATGATTTCTGGAATTTTGGGACCCTGTTCAGTCTTTTATGGTTGGTGGAAAGAATCTTTTTTAATTTCAGTGGACTCTGGCTCTAGTGGATCTGCTGTCCTCTGTATCTGCTGAACCCTCAGGATAGTAGTGGAATTTTTGGTATTTACCGCTCTCTCTGCAGCAAGGCTCTTCTTGAAAGTCTGATACTTCACACTAGATTTCAAGATGTAGGAATTAGAACACAGCACAGGAAAATGTATCAGGAACAAATTGAATCTGCACAAGTATGGGGAGAGAGTTAAAAATATAAGTTCTGATGCTGTTATGTGTTTCTTCTTTGATGCAGGTTTGCTCTGGTGGAAGATCAGTGCCTATGTTTGCATAAATGTTACACTGCTGCAGAGATCAAACGCTAGATGAGAAAGAAATAGTTGTTTGTGACTGTACAAGTCAAGTACAATAGGGGTATCCATTTATTGCTTCAGTTCCACAGATTGTTGGTGTACTAGAAAGTTTCCAAAGTAGTATTTTTCCCTTTTAAATTTGAAGTTAAAATACCTATGCATTAATGCTAGGAAATCTATTCTTTAGAAGTTTAGTTAGTAGAGGGGTATAAGTTGCAAAGGCATTTCTAGGTGGCTAATAAAATATGCCCCATTCCATTTTTGTTGGTGTAGAAGCTACTTCTGTGCTGTCCAGGTGCTGAGAAAACGAGTGTATTTTTTCGAGACTATAAGTACAGTTTTATTATATCAATACTTGGTGAAGATATTCTGAAGTGATTTCTACTGAATAGACAGGCCATTTCTGACAAAAATGTTTTGGTCCTTTTTTGATACTCAGACTTCAGTTTTCATGCAAAACCTGGTAAACAAAGGACAGATTCAGTGAATCTGACTGGCAGTCCTTGCACAAAAAGGATAACTTGCTTAACTTCTCGTTGGCAAAGATGATGGAGAGTCTTTGTAATGATCAATGGAAAAGAGAAAAATAACAATCAGAAGTGCTGTAGGGTATAAAGTTGAATGCCCAACTTGTTTTTAATATGTGACGGAGTGGTTTAAAAGATCTGATTCCCAACAAAATACTTAACGGTTAGTAACATTTTACTCTTTTCTGCATATCTTTTTCTTTGCTAAAAGGCTGAGGTGGAAGTTTCTCCCCTTCAGGTTATCAAAATGCAAAGGGACTGGGATAAAAATTGAAAGGTTAATTGAGGCCACTTTCTGTACCGAAGGAGGGCTGCTGCTCCTTGGGAAATGACTGCAGTGGCTTTCAGGTGGCAGACAGTAAACAAGTTAGTTAGGTTGGGACCGGACATTTCAACAACAGCAGTTGTTGATGACTGAAGGTACACTACCAATGAGATTAAAGGTTAACTTGCTCCCAGGTGCTCTAACAGTGAAGGGGAGAAAGAGAAACGCCTTGTTCTAATAGTTTTTCTTCAGATTTGGTACAAAATGGAAAAAGTTCTAGCTAGCCGTATGAAAAATAGGCAAAACATAGCTTGTGTTTTTTTCCTTTTCTAGAACACAGCCTTGAAATAGTTAACAAGTTACATCAGGAGCAATTCCTTTGGTTCAACCTATATTTAGTTTACTGGAAGAACCTTTAGGTTGTGAAATGTATGCTGTGTGTTCTTGTCCTTGTGCTCGAGTGAAATATTTAAAAGAGGAAATGTTTTCAGCAATATTCCAGGAATCTTTAAATAAATGCTTTTCCTATCAGCGTGAATGGTTAAAATTTGAGGTTTTGGTCCCTTGAAAACATGTTTCTGCTTTGATTCAAATTCTGCTCTGCCAGCATAAAGGAGTTAAAACCTTAACCTAATGCCGCAGTAAAATAAAGTACGTGTAGGGGAATCCCCAGATGGCACAGAGCTGTTTGTACATGGGGTCCTCTTCTCTGCTAACAGCACACACAGTGCCTCCTGGAGCGGGCTTGGAAAAGAAGCTTTTCCTTCCAGGTTTAGAGAGGAAGTGGGGAGGTTAGTCCATATAGCCATCAATGATTATAGATACCTAAAGGGCAGGTGTCAAGAGGATGGGGCCAGACTCTTTTCAGTGGTGCGCAGTGACAGGACGAGGGGCAATGGGCACAAACTGGGACACGGGAAATGCCATCTGACCATGAGGAAAAACTTCTTCACTTTGAGGGTGACAGAGCACTGGCACAGGCTGCCCAGAGAGGCTATGGAGTCTCCTTCTCTGGAGATACCCAAAGCCTGCCTGGATGCAGTCCTGTCCAACCTGCTGTAGGTGAACCTGCTTTAGCAGGGGGATTGGACTAGATGATGTCCAGAGGTCCCTTCCAACTCTGACCATTCTGTGATTCTGGGAATGCAGAGATAGGTAAAAACTTTACAGGTAGTTCATTAGATGGTTTTTGACATGCTTTACGGTGGAGAGTAAAAGAACAGCAGCACATCTCTATTGTGAAGAGGAAAAAACGGTTCACTAATTACGGGTTTTGTTAAAAAGAAAGGAGGGAGTGCAAAGGAATGCACTAAAACTAGTCAAGAGATACAGAGAAGCACAGGGGAGCTTTTTTCAAAGGAAGCATTATTTTTAATGCAATGTTGTGTATTTTTGAAAGAGCAAATTTATGCATCTTATAGGAGAGTACTTTCCCTGTGGTATTAACTTCTTTGTTAACTAGGCTCAGGACTTTTCAGTGTTGCCAATTGTTCATGATTTTCATAGCATTTTTTTGTATGCTGTACTACTTTTTCTTTCTAATTATGTGCGTGTGTTATTGCATTTGCTTTGTTTTACAGTTGTACAATTTTGGAGAGACAGTTTCTGTAGTTTTCTGGACCGATACGTGGAAGCCAGAGAGCTTTTTTGACAAGATTGAGAAGAACAGGCAGAATGGAATGCACACACTGTGCTTACTTGGTAAGCAGCAGCTATCCCAGTTCCTTAGCTACCATCTTCCGCAGCGTCCAGAGATAATAGTCAAAGGCATGAGATGAAGTCTACGATTAAACAAACGTTCTTAGCTAATGTATATGTTTGACAATATACCAAAAATTGGAATGTTACTGTCTATGTGCTTTGAGTCAGTTCAACTATTGTTCATGCTACAGTGGCCAGGAATTTCTTAATTCCTCTTCAGAAAATCTGCCTTTGTAGAAGTCAAATAGGAGAAGGAAGACCGTATTTGCTCTAATGATCAGTGTGATTTTAAACTAGATCAAACTTAGAATCCAACTCAGATGGCAGTGACTAGCAGCTATCTTTTATTGACTTAATTAGGTTAGAGCTAAACACATTTGACTTTCTGGGGAGCTAAATCGTACATTTAACCACATTTCTGTTTTGTAAGGTGATTTCCCTGTTCTAAATTACCTTATCTAAGGATGTTTTGGCAAAAGATGATTGTCACATGAGATGCTTCAGTGCTGTAAAAAATCCTTGCTGATCACGGAGCTGAAATGGAATACTGCTCCTACCTGACAGTGGTCCCCAGGCTCTCCCATGGTGCTGTCTGATCTTCACCCTACCCAAAAATCCTCAGCTGAAAGCCATTTTCTGAGTAACTCTACTAGTTTAGGTAAATCCTTAAAGATTATGGAACTGCCTGCATATAAACTATAACATACTTACATATTTGTATATATAGTTATGTATCTTTCTGTATTATCTTTTAGACACAGCTGGGATCGGGCAGTGCTAAATAAATTAATATTTTAAGTAAAAACAAAGTCTGTGGTAACTGGAGGAATCCTGAGCAGGAAACAATTTAAATGTGTAAGCATCACTGCACATCAAACTTTCCAATGCCTTGAAAGTTGTTTGTTTTCAAAATTGGCTAAAAATCAGAATTTTGGTAATTTGTTTTAAAGAAGGATGACTTCACAAGTGTTTTAAACAAGCATTATTACAACTATAGTATGTTAAAACAAAGTATTCTTTAGATATTTTGCATAATTTCTACAATCTCCCTTTTTAATTTTTTTTTTATATGGTAGTGAGAGAGTAAACATTTTGGAACTGTAAAATTGAATTATAAAGCTCATGTTTCAGAGACAGTTGTGGTACCTGCATCTAATTGTAGCTCACAGCTGAAAACTACCAATTTCCAAGTTAATTGTTCCCTTAATACTACTTGGTCATTCTGGTCTTTGCATTGATTGTTTATCCAGCTAGATGAGATTACCAGATAAGCAAATTGGACATAAAAAGGTTAATGCTAATAAACTTCTGAATTCAAAGCAACTTCACAGATATAGAAGCAGTTTGGTAAACTGTGCACAAATAATCTTGCAGCTTTGCATTTTAAACCCCTTTCTTTACAGTCACTTCGATTTAGGAGTTGATCATATAACTTAAGCAATACTTTTTAAAAAATCAAGTTTCAAAATGCATCCAGCTTTCACTATGAAAATATTTTGGGGGCATTTGAATGCAGATAACATTTGATTGCCTCTTGGAGATATTGTGGTCAAGTGGAGTTTCATAAAATTGCAGATGTGCAGAGTCTTACCTGACCCCTTCTCTTTTTTTTTTTCCCATAACAGAAGATTGTTCTAAATTTTGATTGGGACAGGAAGGAAGTGCTAACGAAAGTCAGGTTCCTGCACAGCAGTGATGTAATGACTGTCGATCAGTCATACTGTTTTACCTTTTGTGACCGCAATGTACTCATCATTGAAGCGTAGTCCCAATATCCCGGTGTGCTTAAAGATGGGTAATGCCTAAATTTACCATTTAGGCATTCTATGGTAAATATGCCTACTATTTGTATACTTAGCAGTATTTTTATTCATCTAGGTTGCTCTGAAATCTGTGAAATTTGCCCTGTCTTTGGGTAAAATCACATATATAAAATCACAGTACTTTGTGATTAATTAACATATGAAACAGCAGAATGTAATCCATATTCCTTCTGCCTGGAATAGCTAAAATATTGTTACAAAGTTTATAGAATCTGCTAATTAAATTAAACTTTACCTATGTAGAAAACTAATCGGGAAGTCTGTAGGAAATCTGCGTTTTCATACCTGTTTTGTTCTACAGATATTAAAGTGAAGGAGCAGTCTCTGGAGAATCTAATGAAGTGAGTCACCGTTTTGAAAATATACAGAAACACACAGTCTATTTACAAAGGATTTTTTTGTACAAGGAACAAAGGTTCTTTGCCCATAGTCTAATACTGAACTTACCTGTCTTCTCCTCTTGTACCTCTCAGTGGCCGCGGTCTTTTGTTTCTTATAAGGAGCGGAACTTTTTTGTTCATTACAATAGAACCTGGCTTTATTTACAGTAACTGAATGAAGTTGCAGCAGAGCATAATCTTTCTTTGAACTGTTTCTGTGAGAAGCATTAAGTCAGAATGGGGTAAGCTTTCTGCTTGGCAGATGAAGTGTTATTTTACTGCTGTTCTGTCCCATCCTGAAATAGATTAATAGCTGAAACAGTGTTCTGAATTCATTCTTCCTTACACTGGCTAGAAACAGCGTGAAGTACTGAATACATACCACCCCTTTTTAAACAGCTAAATAAGCAACATATAGAAAATTCTTTAAAGTACATTTAACTGTATTCAAAAAAGCTCTTGCCACATCTTAGTCATCTCTTTGCAATCTGTATGTTTTGACAGTGGCAAATATAAATGGTTACTGTATACACTGCTGTAACTCTGGTCTAAATGAACATTTGTGAAGTCTCACAGTATCATTGAGGTTTGTTTATTCTGGAGTTGCAAAATAAAATCTGTTTGACCAAATCCACAGTTGGCAAAGAAAGCAGCATTTCATTTAAGAATGTATTTCTAGTCTGTAATCATCTGTCTACAGGGCATTTGACAGAAAAACAGTAGTTTGCCGCGAATTTAAGTCTAATGCATCTTTCAGGAGTAGCTGCAAAACCTGCATATTGCTTCCAGCAGCTGAATTTGCTTTTAGCACTCAAATGATCTGCCAGCTGGAGGCCCTGCTGTTTCACAGGTGTGGTGAGAGCACAAGAGACTTCTGTCTTCCATAAAAATTCTACTCTTGTCTAAATGGCCCAGGCTCTCAGGCCTGTTTAAGTTCCATTTGCTGGTCTAGAGGTTTCTTGAAATAAACTGTAAGAATGCAAGGGACAATGAAATGGGTTTATGTTAAATTTATCTTCTTTCCCTGCAGAGGAAGAAAGATTTATGAGCCACCCCGCTACATGAGTGTGAATCAAGCTGCAGAACAGCTTCTTGCCGTTATTCAAAACCGGAGGCTCCAAGGAGAAGAACCAGGTACTATTACCACAAAGTTTCTATCTGCTTCTACCCCTCTCAAGTCACTCTGATTGATGAGCCTCTGAACTCCCTTCTTCTTATTCTTAGCGTTCCCTTGCTCTGCAGTGGAACTGGGTTGCCTTAAATCCTAGTCATGAGATGCATTTGGCAGAGCTTGAACATAGTGTAGTGCAGCGAGCACAGATGAACGAGCACTAGTGGCTCCTGAAGGTTTAGTCAAAGCCTCAGTTTGGTAACCCTGTATTATTTCTATCCATCTTTAACTGTGTACTCTTTGATCCTTTAGAGTTGCAGGAGGCAGAAGGATTCTGAGCATTTTAGATCAGTCGAGCTTCAAAAATCTCTGCTACGTTTTATTTACACTGGTCACACTCTGCTCTACATGAATACCAGCATGAATCTAGGTTAACCCAACGATGCAGAACTGTGATGTTGACCTTGAATTCTTAACACTAGTCAAGAGCAAACTGTGAAAGACGTTTATCAAGACCAAGGGTGAAATCACAGCAGCTATAAAGATGACTCAGTTGTGTCACAGAAAAATTCTAATAGAAATTCATCTAGCTATATTGCTCCTATTAAAAGTTTATTCCTTAAATACCGTTAAAATGAAAATCCTTTCATTGTATCCTTTATATAGAACGAATCAGAAGCAGAAGCTTCCTCAAAGTGAACACAATTCCTGAATGAATTTCATATTCTACTTCTGCTGCCTTCCTATTCTTGCTTATGAACACCCCCAAGATAAGAGTTTTATTTTCTTTGAAGAACAAGCTTCTTTCTAGGCTACTCCAATGACTTATTAATTGGAGGTTTAAGAAAGCAGTGTTAAGGTTTAAGCATTTTGAGTATTTTCCTTTATGATAAGACTATTAGTCAATAAATTAAGCATTTCATCTTCTTTCTTACAGAAATTACTGAAAACACAGTTTGTGTTGGCCTTGCACGTGTGGGTGCTCCAGATCAGAAGATCGCTTCAGGCACACTACGTGAGATGTCCACAGTGGAATTAGGCGGTCCGCTACATTCCTTGATTGTTACAGGCACTATGCATCCTCTGGAATTAGAAATGCTTAAGCTTTTTTCTGTAGATAGTTCCAGTTTTGAAAATAATGCATTTCAAAGGACCACTTAAATAAAAATTAGGCTTTTTTTTTATTCCATCTTTAATTTCGTGACAGCATAAAGTTATTCCTGTGAATATTTAGAGCTTGCCTAAGTGCTTTTAGATTATATATTGCTTCAAAAAACAACACTGTAGGAACATGGACCTGCCTTTACTTGAGGCTATAAACTGCAAGCTGCATCTGCTATCAGCTTCTACAATGTAGACACCTCCAGAAACCTTCAAAACCCTTTGTCTGATCCAGTTCATTGACATCTACATCAGTCTTAGGTCGAGGAGTAGAATAAGAAACACAAGTAGATAACTGAAGAAGTGTACCAGATACCTGTCTGGCATCACTTTAGCTATAACACATAAACCAAGCCTACTGCATACATTATTATAAGTGCATTTTAGATGTTAAATTTTACTTTTCAACTTTGCAGAAACTTAGTGGTTTTCTCACCAACAGAAACCATTAGTGTGCAAAACCTGTTAGGTCTGTACCCATCTTCACACTTAGGAGAGTGAATACAGACAGGTGAGAAGGTTCTTTATGTCAAAACCAAGAAAAACAGCAACTCACCCTTTGCACAGTTGGTGAAACAAAGGGAGAAGCTGTGCAGAATTTCTTATTTCAGGAGGCTGAAACTTCAAATAGAACTGGATTTCTTCATATGTTAATGCTAGCATTTATGAAGTGCTGGACTCCAACTGCAGCAACCACAATTAACCTCAAGCCAATGCTCTGAAAACAGACAGCAAAAATTCTCCTTAAAATCAGCTAATGGATGATGGCCGTTGCTATTTCAAGTAGTCTTCACAGTATGTATGACAACAAAGCAGACCTGTTTGCATTTTTTTTTTTTTAACTGAAGATTTATTGGAAAGAAATTTGATCCCATATCTTTTCAGCAATATAGGACATTTAACATTTTATATAGACTGTATTCAAGTAGAAAAGATTACATTAAAAATTTCTAATATTGCACTTGGGACAAGTCATGGCTAAGCTACTAACATTAGCATTCCAGAACAAAATCATACATCGTCTTCAGAATTTTAGTGAGCTGCCATGTGTTATCATTAAGATTTCTTTACAGGTATTTTGCTATAGTGTACTATTCAACTTAAGCTCACTGCTAAGAGTAATTCCTGTAATTTAAAGGTAAAGGCAAGCAATATGCTGAATGCAAGCAATATGCTGTATGCTACCAGGAATGATTTTTGCAGTTTCTTCATTCACAATATTTCACACTTCAGCCAAAATACTGTAGCGATTCATTTAACTCTTGTACAAGATCCCAGTATACACATGAAAGACTTCCATGCACATGGGAAGTGAAATACACAACTCCTTTTACACATTATTTCCGCCAAATTACCACATAGGCAGGAACCTTTTGTGGCTCACTGAAACAGACAAGTAGATTAACCAGTATTTGCACACAGAGAGACATGTAGTCCTCACACGCCAGGCACAGCAGAAGCGTAACTGGCATCTTTTCACATTATAGCAGTCTCTGGCCAATGAAGTCCCAAGAGGGATGGTCATTGCAACACAGCCTGAACAGGGGAGAAATCCAAAAGGGAATCCCGGCGTGTCGCAGATAAGGATTTTCACAGAAGTGTAAAGGAGGAATTAACCACTGAGTCAGTATTAGGGATCAGAGAAATGGATTATAAACAAAAAGAAAAAAGAAAATCCCTCTATACTCATTCCCAAACACGCTTAAAAGGGGTGGGATAACGAAGAATCACAGCAGTGGCAGTCCGATGGCTGCTGGGGAAAACAGGACAGGGCTTAATTAGTCACTAAAGCTGTTGCTCTGAACTGGTATTTAAAGATCTTGCTACATGAGTATTGATTAGGAGTTGCGTTTTATAGATGCATGAAGGTTTCTGCAACTGAAATCTGCACTGTGAGAGAAAAGCCATTAACTTCACAATTTGATTGCACAGTGGGTGCAAAGGGTGGAAAACTGCAGTTCAGCAGCAGCTTCTCTCCCCCTTTTGTATCTTGTTTATGTTCTCCAAACAGGTTCACTTACAACTGTTAAAAGGAGATACTCTTTCTTTCCTTCACCTTTAAACCCGGCTTTGCTTCTTCAGGGGGAAAAAAAAAAAAAAAAAAAGTCAAGGTCCACTTTATTACTAGCAGCAGTTTCAATTTTTATGTAAAAATAGTGTCAGCAGCTCTTAGTAATGATGCAATTAAATTTTTGCTTTAGTAAGCAGTATTACATAAAAAGCAGAGTCATTTATTTGGACCAGCACTTTTTGCCTTAGTTTAGCAAATCACACAACTAATCTAGCTCTCTGTCGGGGCCCTATTCATGTAAGGAACAGGTCTATCCGTATGTATAGACTTGCAGGATTAGCCTACGAAGGACCAGTCTTCACTCTGCATACTCTTAAGAGTAGTTTTCTTCCACTATTATTCACCGTGACAAACATTTAGGGTATTTTAATACAGATGCTCTGTCACACTTGTTTTATCTTCTTATTTTGCTGTAGGTCCTGTAAAAATCCTGCAGTTTGCAGGCTTGGTCTTTGGGACAACAGGGTTGTAAGTTACTGTTTTCAGTAACAGACAAAGAAACAACCCCCAAAGACAGACCAGCCCAGCAACCTCACAGTAAGCTTCAGCTACATGAAAACATAAGAAAAATCATACTTTGAAAACTGGGTTCAAAATTCAGTACTGGATACCAGGAAGCTGAGTTTTAGCAAATGGTCTGCAGACATTCATCCAGCTCTGGATGTCAGTCATTCACACAAATCTTAGTTTAAATGATGTGATGCATCTCCAATAAAGTATTAAAAGCAAACTGTTATATAATAAGCGAAGTGTTAGGTAATTAGCAAAACACAAGATAATGGAGCTTTGACTCTCAGGATAAGAAAAGCTGCACTTCCAATTGCATGATTTGTACACCCCTGAAACCTGAGCAAATATCCCCTTAGTAGGTAAAAAAAATAAATCAGATGTCACGCCATTTACTGACATACTAGATGTGATTTAGTTACCTACTAGTCACATCATCTGCTGGCTTTTGTAGAATTTTGTGATGCTTATCCTCTTTCAGAAAGCCTAAAAAGGCTTAAAGTCTACTTTGAATCTGACTTCCCTACCCTATCCTCAATTATTTTTAACAAACAAATGATATATTTCTTACTGTAAAAACATCAAGTTGTCCTTAAAATTAATGAAGAAATTGCTATCTCAGTTAGGGAACTCAGACTTGCACATATGTTTCCAACAGTCAGCCAAGTACTCATAAGCAACAAAAAGATGACAAAAATTATTAAAATCAATATTGTGTAATTATAGCCAGCTTATAGGCTTTTTCACTCTATTTCCCACATTAAAAAAGTTGGTAGGTGTACATCTTAAAAAAAAAAAAAAAACAAAAAAAACCAAAAAAACCCGACAAACAAACCAACCCAATTGCTACTCAGGCAGATTCTCACTTGGAAACAAATTGTAGCAGTTGGCTTTTCATTAAGAAAACTAAAATAGTGGCCAAGCTCAGCAACTTGGGCAGCACTACAGTACTTCAGCAAGTCCAGGAATACTCAGTCCTGAAACACGCTGGTACAAAAATGATATAAACCAAAGCCTGCTCTTGGATCATGACACAATTGCAATGAAGTTGGCTGGTATTGCCTTTAAAGTGATATCAGTTGCTCTTCTCTATCCTCAAATAGTCGCAATATTAACTATAAAAAAAAAGACAATCAAGAAATCATGCTGTCAACCAACAAGAAGCAATCTATATGCAACATACTACAAAACAATATGAGGGATCTCCACCCTATAATCACCACCTTATTTTAATTACCTTTTCTGTGCACATATATGCAAACGGTATCTTAAACTGCAATACTGAAATCTGCTCAACAGATTCTTGCACCCTACCCTGCGCCGTGTAACCTTCAGATCCCATCCTCCAGTGAGGAACTGCGGCCCTGGCAGAGCACCCGCATGGTGAGATGGGGTGCCAGGCAGGAGGCCAGAAGAGAGAGATGGGGAAAAGTGCAGCCAGCTGAAAGGGCACTCTGCACCTGCATCCCCAAAACAACCAAACACGATCAGAAAACAGCAACAGGGATAAAAAAGGATGTGAAGACTAGAGCAGACTGTAAAGCTTAACAGCAATATGTATGTGGCTTTTTCCTGCTATTTTTCTTTACACTCAGTTTTCTGTTCCAAGCACAAGAGTACAACCCCAAGCTTTGTACAAAATCAACATTCATGTTTCAGTATCTCATCTGGAAAATTCAGGAGCCACCTATCAATTTGGCAACCGTTGTGTTTTCACATGAAAAGGGATCACAATACAGGTGCTATATAGGAACAACAGAACGAATGCGAGAAACTCTTCATCTCTATCATGAATTCAGCAGCATCAGTGGCAAACAAATCATTTCTGCAAATAAATCTTCGGTAGTTTCATAGTGCCTAGCACTTACTACACAGACATTGTCAGCTTCAGAGGGCCTTGATTTCAGTATTACCACATAACAGCTACCAGAAGAATACTTAAAATCCATACCAGTTAGTAACAGCTATGATTTATCAGAAAAACGCCTGTCTTGTTTTTTATTCCACAACGTTCTGTTTGTAAAATGTCCGCTTATAAAATCTTCCATTACTAAGTTAACTACTGCAAGTATAGTGGAATTATCATCTGTAATACCAAGTAGAGCAGATTGTCTTTGAAAACAACGCTCAGGTCTGAAAGTGTAAAATGATTATAAATGCTACAAAAATACGACAGACTGATCTTTCAGGAAAAAACAACTTACTGCACTGAGATTATTTTTTTTTTTTCCATGAAAACACACAAGGCTACAGTAAGACAGTCAAAAATGTCAGACTTGTCAACCTAGAAAAAGCATAATTTTAAAGAGCATGAACCATGGTCCTTATTTCCATTTCAGGTATAACCACCACAAACAACTATTTTCAGTATTTGGAAAGGCAAAAGTTATCTCACCAATCACTTTAATAAAAATTATTACAACCTATTAAAACCAAGGAGAT